GGGTCCTTATAATAGGGATCCTATTGATGAGGGTACGAAATTAGGGTCCCCGATTTTCGGAACCCCCAAGTGAATCCTGAAACCTTTCTTCCTTGTACTTTGTACAATCCGACTTTCGTTAGGCTGGTTTAGGGTTTAGGTTCAGGGTTTAGGGTTTAGGGTTTAGCGTTTAGGGTTTAGGGGTCACGGAAAGCGAGTGGGGCCATCAAGGAGTGGACACCGTAGGCAACCGTTGCTGTACCATAGGAGCTGTGATTTCGGTCGCTGTAATTAGCCTTCTGTGCACAAACGAAACTGAAGATCGCGGTAGTCCCCTTCAACGGCAGACCCATTTCACGACATCTGCCGAGTGAAGCAATTGCTCACGGAAGGGTGGGACAGGAGCATCTTGTGTGCTGTCGCTTGAGGCTACTCGCGGGGCAAAACACTCCGACCTGGTGATCCCAGAACCCTAAACCCCCCAACCCCAAGCTTGCTTTCAAGTCCCAAAGCCGTTCTCAGTCTATGCTCACGTACCTAAACCGCATAGCTGCAAAACTTCCCCAGGGACCTGCCAAGTTTCTTTGATTCGGCGTTTTATGCCCAGGGTGGAATACTGTTCCCACCTAGACCCCCTGCCAACCTGCACAGGCACCAAACCCAAACCCCTAAACCCTAAAGACCCCAAACCCTAAACCCTGAAGACCCGGAACCCTAAGCCCTAAAACCCCAAAGACCCCAAAAAGGCCCTAAAGAGCCGACGCATCATGTTCCTGTTGTATACTCCTCAAACCAATGCCTTCAGAGACACCGACGCCTAATCTCTACTTACAGTTTAGGGGTTTAGGGTTTAGGGTTTAGGGTTTAGGGAGGATCAGGGTACACGTATCCTCATGATCAGTGGAGTTACAATCGAGATATAGGTCCCCTTACTATAGTTCCCTAAATCGCAACTCGCTTTGAAGCACCGACTCGCTGTGAAGTTCGCTGCAGCTCCAAGTGCCCACAAGACTGCCTGACCATCCGAAACCCGAAACCCAACCCGAAACCCTGACCTAAACCCTAAACCCGAAACCCTAAACCCTAAACCTGAGCCCGAAACCCACACCCCTAAACTCACCAAACGAGTGCCAGGTCCTGGTCTGGGAGGCAGCTGTTCTCGCACCATGGCCGGTGGAAGTGGTTCGTTCCGCAGTCCTCGGTGATGCAAAAATGAGGGGCTTCGGGGGTTTGAGTCTTGAAGGTTGGGGAAAGGCAAAACTGCTGCGCTTCAGGGTTTACAGGTTTGTTTTCCGGGTGAACTCCCACAGTAACGAGCCCGTACACTGCGACAGCATTCGCAGCTAGCAACAGCCCAGTGGAGCGAGTGGTTTGGAGTTTCGGTCCGTGTTCGGTAGCGGCACAGTGCCGGAAGCGTGGACAGGCTCGAAACCCAAGGGCTGTAGATTGGAGATCTGCTCTAAATTGAGGTATGCGTTGCAAGAAATGGGCACCTTCTGCTGGTGCTCTGTTGATGCTTCTGTGCTCGCCGTTCGCCACCTCTTGGTGCTGGGTTCTTATGCTAGAAGCACCTGGTTGGAAAGAAAAAATCTTGAACATGCGAGAACCAAGCCGAGAGCAATGGTTGGCTTCTTGGTCGAAAGCCGCAAAGCTGCATGCGCAGTGTCATCGCAATTGGCTGAACTCTCCGCAGCTGGCAGCGGAAACGACGCGACGTTTCTCTGGGGATATTCTGGTAGCCTTTGGTGCCCATGTCTACGGTGTGGGAGTCGCAGAACAGTTTCTAAATAAAAAAACGTTTTTGTGGGAGATCGAGCATGCATGCTCGCACGCTCTCGGCGGTGATATTGTTCTGGAACTTCTGGGCTCTACAGCGCGTGGCACTGGATTGAATTTTATTGATGGTGATATGGACATTCAGGTCTCCAGGCGACCGGGTTCCGGTCGAGCTCATGAGCCTTTCACGGACACTGACAAGCGACGCGTCGCACAGAATCTGGAAAAGCTCGACTTTATCTCAGATGTGACCATCGGGAACATTGCTATCAAGTTTGCCATGACTGCTATAAATGTCGATCTTGTGCTCTGGAAGGAGCGATCTGAGGAGTTTCCAGCACTTCGCGGAGGGTCGACTTTCTACAACAATTCAAAGCGGATCAATGCTTTCTTGGATCAATCGCCTATCGCAAAGCAGGCCATTATTGCGATTAAGACATATTTCGCTCGTGGCCGTCCAAAAGGGCTCCTTCTTGAGGCCATTGCCTGGCGGCTGGGGTCAATGAAATTGGAGCTGAAGACGATTTTGAGAAGAGTGAAGGACGCATACCCGAAGTCCTGGGGTCCTTCATCTTTTTCCGAGCGATGTTTGAAGAACTCCGGAATTGGAAACGGGCACCTCATTTCGGCCGCCAGCTTCAGCAAGACTTGGCTATGCTTTCGGACAGGAAGAGGGCCGAGTACACTGCAGGCTTCCAGGAAATCGCATGCATAACAGATTCAAAATTTGCATTCCAGTTATTGCTGGGTGCATCTGACGCTCGAGCAAAACAAGTACCTTTATCGAACGTAACAATCGACAAGATTATCCCCATAGCCGACGAAGCACTTAAATACTACTTTTCCGGTTTCCTGGAACAAGATCACTGAGAGAAGACTGAAAAGAGGAAGGTCTGTGTGGCGCTGAACCCAGAGACTCCAAAACCGCTTAATTAAGCAACATTCAACAGGCCATAGCTTAAAGTATTATTGGGTCATGGAGGCATCCTTAAGAAGATTTAATGTCGATTCCATAATTACGCGGTTTGGGAGTCTCTCGTTCTGCTTCGTCCTGCAGCTTCAGCTTCGACCTCGAGTTCCAAAGGTGAGCCTGATTTGGAAAGAGGCCCGCCGCTCTCATACACGCAATCGTATTCCAGCACCCTGTTCAAGGCTCTTTAGAACATTCGCGACATGGAAGCGAAGTTGTAGATATTGCGCATCCTATGTGGCAGTTTCGGAAAGCCAAAAGCCCAACCCGAAGCCTAAGCTGCCCCAAGCCATACGCCCTAGGCCCGATAGACCCTGAGCTCTACACCTTCGAAACTGGGACCCTCCTCAGTACAAGGACCCTCTAAGCAGGGGAGCATCGCTCGCGGAAACCCCCAGACCTTGTCTAAAAGTCTTATAAAACGGTTACAAAACCTCGTAGAGATTCAACTGCAACTTCTAAATTCTAAAGCCCTTACAACACCCTTCCAGGGCTCTATAAGCCCCTAAAGGAAGGAGCAGCGGGAAAAAGAAGCAGCTCCGAAGATTTGGTCAGCCCGCTGGAACGGCAGTTCTTGAAGAGACCGGTTCTACAGGGTTTTTGATCAGGGGTTCTGTAAGGGAAGTACACAAGTTGTATAAGGGTTCCATGAGTTTCGGGTGTAGGAGTTCAGGGGAGGTCGGGCTTTAACGTCCTCACAATCAAGAGTTTCTTTGAGGTTCATGGGTAGTTATACGTGGAGTTATAAGTCCCGTAATATAGGTTATAACTACAGTTACCCTACTTGTAACCCTACTTAGAACTACCCATGAACCCCCAAGCGCTGGACTGCCCCGACAAGCCTTCGTACCCAGCAGCTAGAACCTGCCCACTTCTCCAGCCCGCTTCAAGATTTGACCTCCATTCTACCTTCAACGGAATTCTGGTACATGTGGGTAGTTGTCAAAATTATGGTCCCTTTTGGGGTACCCTAAATTAATAGGTGCCGTATTATAAT